ATCACATCATTTATCATTTGGTATTATCATAATCATTCATCACCTTATCATCGCTTATCGTGAAATCCGTCCGAAACAGCTTTCCACAATTTAACTATGATTCATATTGATTGATAACATTTGAATTTTTCCCTCCTTTTCGCTCATCAATATTAGCCATCTATAAAAGGTAATAAATAAAGAGCTCATTATGATTGTGCCTTTTGCCTATTAATGTACTGTCTGAAAATATTATAAATCTCTTTTGTCGGCCTCATCTATCCCATCTTAGACATTGTAAACTCTTCTCACTTATCTGCCTATGGTATATATAAAAACTCATATTTTCATTGACTGCTATTCTTCTCCCTTTCATTTTTACATTCATTGTTTCATTAATACTCCATCTGTCCCAATGTATTATATATCCTTTTCTGTTATTTGATTTCACATTGATTATCATTATTTCATTTTTCATTCACTTTAATGGCTAATTTCTTTCGAAAATTTTGAAAATTTTCGAACCGCAAACAACTTTCGAAAATCGAATTTTCGAAAGTTGTTTGCGGTTTATCGACACTCCTGACTGAGTGAAACTTGCAGAAGATATGTACTGGGTTCGCGGAGGGACAAGTTGTTTTGTTGAACTTCGTGTTCGCGACGATATGGGTCCTTCTTGTTCATCACCTTCTGGGTTGATTCCACATTCTTCACTGGTTCAGATTGAGGGTCTTTTCGTTACCTATCTGCAAAACATACAATAAATTCACTGGCCTGATGATAACCTTCCCGTGAGGTTACTCCAAAATGGCGCTTCCTCTTCATTCTTCTTTGCTAAAGACAATTAGAAGCCATGAAGATGTTGTCGGGTTCTCCTCATCTGTCCTCTGTTTAATTCAATGGCTTTAACTATAGTTAAGGCTGACGTTTCATTTTTGAATTGTCCGCCGCTTCGGTACTGTCAACTTACGGTACATCTAGTTGGCTTCTCGATTTCATCACCAAAAGTTCGATTTTGAGTTACAATTTTCTCTAAATTCATTAACCCTCTTAGGAATTGTCCCTGTCGGAAAAACTCCGAAAATCAGAATGCAAATTTTCTGTCGGATTACCGAAATTAAAGCCATGTTCGAACAAAATTTCCACAATATCTAACAAACGGGGTGACGAAATCTTGTAAGTGAAATTAAAGCAATGAAGAGGAGGGACATGAAGAATAATGGACAACGTAAAACAAAAACGTCTCAGTATCTACACCATAGACAATGATATATCTGCACAATAAACAATGCCGAAGGTTAGCCACATCTCCATAATAGCTGTAGCGAATTTCGAATTCGCGAAACTCCAACTAAATTCCAAACAAACAAATAAATAAATTCCTCATTACTAATTCTACATTCCTTAGATTTATTTCCTATCTTTGTATTGTTAGCTAAATTCACATCTTTGTGTTCACATCCTACAAATGCTTAATGAAAACCACTCCCACTTGCGAATATATATAAACCCTATTGTATTAATAAAAAAGGAGGTCCAATAAACTTTCTACAATCTGATACGTTTACAACATAACTCAATTCAACTCAACCCGGTTTGTCGGACTCAAGGTGTTCAAATCAATTCAATGAATCGTCAATTCGGAACAAATTTGAGGTAGTGATGGACCTCTCAACAATTCTACAAGAAAAATTCATGACAATAGTCTCGATGGAGCTTAGAAAATTTCTTAATCCTTATACATATATATGAAAAAATCCCGAGACAGCCAGTTTATTACAGCGGAACAGACGATACATCATCCTCTTCGCTTATTTTCCCCGACTGAACCACAAACAACGATATCTTCGCATATCCGACACCGTTAGACAACAAACTACGATATTCTTTTTATTCACTAAATACATTTCCCATGACATATCCCCAATTCAACGACCTATCAACTAACCAACAGTCAAATCATTATCCAAGGCAACGACAAGGAATTCGTTAGTCGACCATATTGCTTGCTTATTATATAACTCATCATTGCTTACCAATTCACCGTGTAATATATACATGTATATTTCACATCCTTTTTGTTGTTAACTGGTAATATTGTGCAAGAATAATATCGCTGAAAAACGAATTCAACAGATTAGCTTTCCTGACAGAAGTTTTATGGTGCCACGAGTCGGGAAGGAATATCATTTACGGTAGTACAGAGCGCAAACCCAGCGAAGGGGAAGCTAAACAAAGTTTTTAACGAACTGGAAGAATTGGATCTGAGGCGATTCGGCAGATAGTTACCTTAGGAAGAGTTATGCGAAAATTGCGAAGCACAAAAAAAAACTACCAATGAAATGATAGGAAGAACTGAAACACATGTAGAAGTGTAGGAATACATCAACAAAGAATGGAGGGATTCTATTCAAACGGTCTCTCTCCAACAACAGAAGACAGAGAATAGAAAGTACACGGAAGTGATAGAAGATAACCAAGAAATATTAAACCTGGTAAGTCAGGGGATGGAAGTAGTGACAGCTCTAAAAAGATATGAGAACGATTCAGAAGATAAAACTCGACGTTTAGAGAGTTTGAATAACCTCAGATCAAAAGGGGAATTCGCGAGCGAATTGTCACAACAAGAAAGAGAGGCAACTGTTCAAGCAGCTCAGAGAGCGACAGTCGAATTGCTTCAACTGCAACTGCTAGTGTTTAGCGGGAATCCTCGAAACTGGAGAGCATTCTGGAAAAGCTTTAAAAGCTTTGGCGATACATAACCAGAACCTTCCAGACATCCATGAAATTCTTATTTCGTGCTTAAGATATGAAGCATTACAAGCAGTTAGTGGATACGAGATTGCGCCAGAGAATTACAATCTTATTCGAGAGTTGCTAATAGGGAAATACGGTGGTATGTATACTAATGTATACTATCAAAAGCTTATTTTGCATCGATCTTTTCTTAGTCAGCAAAAATAATCGTGAATGGAAAACAGCAATCGAAAATATAGAGAGATTACTCAAGCAACTGCAGGAGTTGGGAGAAAATCTAGAACATGCAAGTTTACAAGTAATTCGGAGGGAATCTACCAAAGCGTATCCTAATTAAAGTTCATAGGCAAAGACTGAAAGATAAGTTTTGGTCAGTAAGCGGATTGAGACTGTTGGGAAATTGTTTTTTCGTTGAATTCGTTTTTCAGTGATATAGATTTATTCGGAATGTAATATTATTCTTGCACAATATTACCAGTTAACAACAAAAAGGATGTGAAATATACATGTATATATTACACGGTGAATTGGTAAGCAATGATGAGTTATATAATAAGCAAGCAATATGGTCGACTAACGAATTCCTTGTCGTTGCCTTGGATAATGATTTGACTGTTGGTTAGTTGATAGATCGTTGAATTGGGGATATGTCATGGGAAATGTATTTAGTGAATAAAAAGAATATCGTAGTTTGTTGTCTAACGGTGTCGGATATGCGAAGATATCGTTGTTTGTGGTTCAGTCGGAGAGAATAAGCGAAAAGAATGTATCGTCTACTTGGTTGTAAAAACCAAACTGTTCAGATTTTTCTTTATATATATGTATATGTATATCTATAGGGATTAGGGAGTTTTGTAAGCTCCATCGGGGTTATCATGAAGGTATGGCTTCCCTTTGGTGTTGTACTTTGTATAGGTATAATGGATATCATTGTCCACTAAGATGTCTTTGGATTATGTTGTGCGTTAACTTATATTCTCTTCATTGCTTTAATTTTGCTTACAAGATTTCATCGCCTTGTATGTTAGATATTGTGGAAGTTTTATTTGAACAGCTTTAATTTCGATAATCCGACATCCCATGGAGTGGAGGAGTTTACGAAAGAATGATCGGTTTAATGAAGGAAGGCATCAATGAAATAAGCTATCGATAGGAAGCTGCTGTAGAAAAAACAACTATTAACTTATGGTTGTATAATGTCCCATAGATTTCATTTCCCCAAATGCTCTGCTAGCTCCACCTATTATGACAATGTATGATGAATCAAGTATAATGAATTGATTAAAACCGAAATCCTCTTATAAAATATTGGTTGAACTCACTCAAAACTCTCGACGTCATCTGGGAAATGTGGAAGAAAGAATGCATAAACGAAGTTGTATTTATCAACAAACCTGGAATTGCTCAAGGCATGTGGATGTTGGCCAGAATAAAGCAGTTCAAAGAAGGAGATAGCAAAAAGGACCATTTTGAAATGACTTTACGGGAAGGTCGCCATGAGGCCAATGAATTTATTGTATCCTTTGCATATAGATAACGAAAAGACCCCTCAGTCTGAACCAGTGTAGAACGAGATTAAATCCAAAAGATCGATAAACAAGGACCCATATCATTGTGAACACGGAATTCAACAAAATAACTTGTCCTTCCGCGAATCCAATATTCATCTCCTTCAAGTTTCACTCAGTTGGGAGTGTTGACAAACCCGATACATCTTTCTGTAACTTAGTTGTGACTCATATTGATCGGTAATATTTAAATGTTTTACTCATCCATATTGACTTTCTACATACTTGTAATAGACAAACAGCCCATTGTGATTGTGCCTTGTCTATTATTGATGTATCTTCTGGAAAGCGTATTATAAATCCCCTTTGTTGGCGTCATATATATATGGTGCTTTCGATGATAGTCTCTATGTTGGACTGTTCTAAGTCCTCCCCTATAGTTTTCTAATTGCCAGAGTGTCCTTTTTTGATTGCTTCAGTTGTGTTTTCCCACTCTCAATTCATTTCATTGATGGAGAGCAATTCATAGTACAGAATTGTTTTATTATAGACGGTTTACCAAAATTTTCCAGACACAATAATTTTTGGAAGGACCTAGAATATAACCTGTAAAGGATTGGAAAGTTTCGCCTTTCAAACAGGATATAAGATAGTTCAATTTTTCAATCTTTAGTATGTTCTATGATCCACTGTAATTTCAAAACTGCTCTAAAATTCCCTCCAATACTTAAGTTATCACTTTACATTGGAAGAGGTGGCTATGATTAATTTACTGTGGATATGAGAGGTTAACTTCACTAATTTTTCTTATCACATTGATTCTTGAGATAAATGAAGAAGTACTAGATTAACCTCATTCCTAGACATTGTTAAAGTGATTTCAAGCGTATTAATGCATATTTCCAGACGTAATGTTCTTTCTTGAATAATCCTTCACCTAATTTCCAAGTGATTGTTTTTGTTCCGTTGATAAGCACTGCTCTGATGATAACAAATTTATCATTTTCATTTCATCAAGGAATTTTTCTAAACTTTTCCTTTATTGGTTATATACTATCGATTATATTGATCAACATGCTTTATCTCACCTTGTGCACCAGATGTGTCGCAAATGGAAAATATTATTGAAAAAGGAAAGACTTACTTCCCTTGAAGAAGTATTGCTGTAATGTTTGGATATTTGAGTTGTAACCATTAGCAATAAATTTAATAAAACAATTCATTAGCCAAGAATGATAATCAATGTGAAATCAAATAACAGAAAAGGATATATAATACATTGGGACAGATGGAGTATTAATGAAACAATGAATGTAAAAATGAAAGGGAGAAGAATAGCAGTCAATGAAAATATGAGTTTTTATATATACCATAGGCAGATAAGTGAGAAGAGTTTACAATGTCTAAGATGGGATAGATGAGGCCGACAAAAGAGATTTATAATATTTTCAGACAGTACATTAATAGGCAAAAAGGCACAATCATAATGAGCTCTTTATTTATTACCTTTTATAGATGGCTAATATTGATGAGCGAAAAGGNGGGAAAAATTCAAATGTTATC